CATTGTGGGTTATGAGAAGGTTTAGTTCCATTATGGGCTCAATGAATACTTGGTTTTAAGATTTATCTAGTATTTAATATGAATTGAGGATGCAGGGATTATAACGTTTTAGGAGTTTATGGTGTAGGATTATATTAAAGTGTTAGTGATGTAAGGAAGATTATACTTCACATGTGGATTTGGTTGTGTCTAATTTTTTTCCCCTTTTTAACATTGATATATTTTGTAACTTATTTGATAATTCTCTGTTAACAAAGTTTGGTGGTAGGTGTCATCTTTGAAAAATTTCATTTTGGTCATTTGATACCACTTTTAGCTAAAGGTGTTGTTTTGGTTTTTAGTGTAAGTGGAGGAGTTATAAATGGCCTGTTTATAGACTTGAGTATTCATTTTCAGTAAAAATGAAGTAATGTTTTTCCAACCTGGGCTTAGGGCCCTCAGGCAGTGAGAAAGAGCATAAGTAGATATCAAAAGCAGTTCATTTGTGGTTTTGGAGTTTTTATGTTTTGTTTTTAGATCTTACTCCTTTTCCCTTATTCTCTCCCAATATGTAAGCTCTTCTTTAGAATGCCAGGAAAAAGATGGCCCTGTAGTATTTGATACTAGAAAAATGAACCACTAGCTTTGTTTCTTTAATTTCTAAGTTTTGGAGAAGATAAATGAGTAAGGAACACAGGATTCAGACTGTCCTGGAGGGAAAAGTTTGAGCATCTGTATTCTAGAATCTCATCACAACTCGAACAATGTTTCATGTTTCATACACTCCACCTTGAGTGTTGAAATTTAGATGAAGTTTCTTTTGAGACTTGTGAAATTGTTCTTGCTGTCTTAGAAAACTTGATATTCAGAGATAAATTCTCTACTTCATTGTAAGGAAAACTACTGTTTGCATGGGATAAAACTCCAGTAGTCGTCTTTAAAATCAGGTCTTTTTTCCTTTATTTGCTTTCATGTTTTTCACACTTAACCTGGCTTCAGCTCTTATTAAAGTGATTAATATCACTTGTTAATCATAAATATAATGAAGTTATGCTTTTAAAATTACATAATTTAAAACATAATTATGTACTAGACTCTCATGCTTTATTTTCTCCTATAGAAATTAGGAAGTTTAAGCAAGGAAGTCTTAACTTTGTAGTTTATTAATAAAACTACTAAAAAATAAATCATAATGTAAATTTTAAACTACAATATGTTTATTACTTTGATTAATTAGAAAACTATTCGAAGAGCTTAGATTGTGCAAGATGATGCAGAGTAGTGCTTTGTAACTTTTTTCCTGCCTGCACACACAGCAGTCTCCTCTCAGAAGCATTCTTCATTACAAACAATATATTTTCACCCAGGTTAATGGGATGAGTTTGCAGTGATGATGGGGCAGGTCCTGCCTTTATCTCCTCTAGCTGGAGACTTGTGATCACTGTCAGGGTTCTGTCCTGGATACAGTCTTCCTAATTGTTTTCCCTGGAAAGTCTTTTTACTTTAAGCAACTATAGACAGCCAGTGTCTTTGATGTGAAAACATAAATGCAAAAACTCTAAAATGAATAATATTCTTATAGAAAAGAAGAAAAAAAGTAGGATATATGCAGTGATTAAGTTGTAGAAAAGTCTTTAAAAATTCACATCACATCTTAAAATGACATGGCAACTAAAAATGTGCTTTGTTAAATCCCTCTTAAGCATTTTAATTGAAATTGACATCCAGTCAATCGACAACCCTCCTTAAGCTTAACATTACAAATTCATGCCAGCTTCTGCGGTGATGCAGTATACCCTTGTTGCTTAGAAATGATTTAGTAGCTCTTAGCCCAAATAGGAAGTGGATTTACAACTATGTTTAGGGAAAACTTGTACAATAATCCTAGGTGATTTTAGAAAGAATTTTGAAGAAATAACACATGGAAGTATCACAGAATTCTACATTACAAAGTAAGAAATAGAATGTAAATATCACTCTTTAAATTCTTACTATGATTTGCAGAGATTGTTGATTTTGCAGATACATGAAACTTGAGGATTTATTTCTCTTGTTATAAAAATAATTGAGCTTCCCTTTCCCCTAGTGTTCAATATTATAGAACAACTGACATCTGTTATTAGGTGGATTAATAACTCATTTACTTCAGTAGACTTTCAGATTTCTGTGTGTTATTATATAACCAGAGTATTGCAGAGGTAAAGTGAACAAGAAACCTTGTGTCAGGATGCTGAATATTTGGTGGGGGAAATAATTGTAAACCAATGACATTTGCTTGTTCATTAGTTTTATTTCTTATATTAAAGAAGTAAGTTGTTCAAATATTTGGCCATTATATATATAACCTGAGTAATGATGAATATAAGAAGACATTTAGAATAAAAGTAACAATCCTGGTGAAGTGTCTTTAGAAGTTGTATGATTAAGCTCTATAGTGTATGTATTTCTAGTCATATGTATCCTAAAGCCTGTATTCATTATAGCAAATATGAAATATTCAGAGGTTTTTCTAATCACAAAGTTCAGAGGTTCTCATCTAGCTTTTCATGATCTAGCTTTGTCTTGTCTTAGAAGCACATTAGGTACTTTATAGAATGTAGCATTATATGTAATATCATTATAATAGTCTGTAAAGAAATATATTAAAATGTTGAAGTAAATTTCTAGTACAGCAGTCTTGAGATAGTACTTCCAACTTACATGTAGAGTGTATTCTGAAATACTTGGAAATGCAATCATCTTTTTTTAAAGAAGCAATGCTATAAATGTCATTTCCTCCTCAGATGAGCCTATGAGAATTCATTTGACCTCTAATTAGTATATAGGACCATATTTTTTTCAAAGAAAATAATGCTATTATTGCTGGTGAGTAATTAGGAAAATAATTTGAGCAAGTATTTACTTGAATCATGGTATTTGGGGGAAAACAGAGAGATTTGTATAAAAGGGAGATTAGCTAGAATGGAATTAACTGAGGTGAGAACAATAAAAGTCAGGAAAGGGGGTGATACTCGGTGAAAAAATGAGCTACTTGACTAAAGGAGGTTAATAAAGATAACTTCCCATCACAGTTCTGAGGGCCTGGTTGACCCAAGAATAGGTAGTTAAAGATGAGCTACCCCTCTATTTTTTTTTTTTGACATTTGAAAGGGGAACTATCTTCTAAATTAGCCTGTAGTAAACAAAACCTTAGCCTTTACAAAACTCAGAAAATCCTTTAAGTTTATACCCTGAGTGGTAAATTTGTATTTTCATTATTACCACTGATAAAACAGAAGTTAGACTAAAACTTTTTCTATATTGATTGTTTTTTACTTTGAATATATTAACCCAGAGAAAGAGTTGTTTTTTATTTCATCCTTCAAAGAGCCTGTATACCATTAAAGCATAGAGTTAATACTGTCAAGTTACCTAAACTACCATGTAAAACATTCTATGGCAAAATTCAGTCACTGATTGTTTGAGTACCTACTATGTGCCAGGCACTCCTTTTGGTGCTCTAAAACAGCAGTGAACAAGAGAAGATTCCTTGCTATGGAGTTTTACACTCTCATAGGGATTTAGTTCGAATTGCATTTGAAAGATGCAGAAAAGTCATGTCTTTAATACCTTCAAGTTGGCTTACTTAGGGTAGGTGCCTGTAGCTAGAGCAGCTGGGAATCCAAATTTATAGCCAGTATCCTAGGTAGGATCCTAATAGTGAATGGGTATTAACTTTATTAACGTATTTTCAGTAGGCAACAAAAGGCAGCTTCCTTTTAAAGAGCAAGGACCAGGGTCCTTATCCTTGCCCATCTGTTCCTAAATAAAGATTCTTCTCGTGGTGAAAATGTTTGAATGAACTATTTACTTCTGTCAAGGCAGTTCTATTTTTCATGTGTTATTGCTAAAGTACATGTAACTTAGGTGTTGTATACAGTTTTATAGAAGCAGTATAATAAGTTGTTAGGTGAATATCTGCTGGATCCAGACTGCTTAGATTTAAATCCCAACTGATCTAGCTGTGTGATCTTGGGCAAATTATTTAACCTATCTGTGCCACAGTTTTTTAAAATCTGGAAAAGTAGTGATAATAACTGGCTAATGTGAGGATGAGATAAGTTAATTGGTAATGCTTAGCACTTTGCAAGTGCTGAAAGACAGCTGTTATTATTTTCCGTACTTGACATAGTTTATGTAAAATTTGCTTTTCTAGATTTTTTTGGCTAAGTATCTTATTTTGTTTGGTGGGTTTATGCTTTCAAGGAGAGCAATTTGGTATAATGAAAGTCTAGGTTCTAGCTTTGGATCATCCACTTATTTGATCTTGATTTGATTAATTAGGGAGGTTTCAGGTAAAATGATCTCTTTAAATTTTCATACAAAATTTAAATATCTTAAAGTAGGTGAGCATGTTGAACCTTTGTGTTTTTTGTTTGTTTGTTTGTTTTCTAGCACTCAACTGAAACATTTGAAGTGTTTTGTTTTATCATATTGTAAAAAGGTGATCCCAGGTACTTGGGTTTTGTACCCAGAGCTTACCAGTAGCTATTAGTAGTTCTCAAATTTTAAATTAGTGAATGGTTTACAGATGATTTCTGTGATGTGGGTGTAATGCTAAACATAAACTACTTGACGAACATGCCCAATAAAAGGTAGTACTAAAATAACCTTTACTTTGGCTTTTCATGTCACTGAGAACAAATTTCATAAAATTATTGTAATAACCTCCTAGTAAGTTTGAGTTACGTAAACTAGAAATACTAATTACAACTTAATATGTTTATTGCACTTTTTATTAATTTAAAAATGCTATGCACTTCACTTAGATTTGCTTTGTTTTTATGTCCTGTTTTCTGGAAAACTATTCAGATTTTCATTAGTTTTTCACTTCCTTCCAAAGGGCACTTGTAGATAAACATGTTATAAAATCAAAATGGATGTTGTAGTCAAATTTTATTGAAATTCGGATCTTGTAAAGATGGTTGTGTTTAACTTCCACAAAGTCATTTGTGGTTTTTCCTGAACTTTTCCTTCTGCAGCAAAGTTCTGTTTTCATTAACTACACACTATTTTAAAGTAGAAGATGGTGGTGAAAGATCAGTCTGTGTTACCTTTGGATTTTTTTTCTTTGTGAAAGCAATGGCAGTCTTGATTGTAACAGAAAATTACCTGGAATTTGGACTCGAAACAGGTAATAATTTCATATTTGATAAGTTTTTAAAATTAGATTTGAGGTGTATATTCTGTAATGTTCTAAGTAATTAACTTTTATTATTAAGATCTTTTTTAAGCTAAATTTTTTGTTACCTTTTTCCAAAAATAGTTTCCTCCCTTTTTTCCTTACAGTTAAATAAATTTCTCTAATGCTGAAGTTTACTCACATAAAGATGCAAATTTTAATGCAAATTTTATGCACACTCATGGAATATACAAATATCAAAGGGATGTTTTCAAAGACTGTTTCTCCTAATAACTAAATTTTATTGCATTATGGCATACTAATTAGCACATGAAAGAGCTAAGCTAGTCACTTCAAAATTTAAGATGCTCTGTTTTCTAACATTTCATTTCCAAAGATTCTGTATTTTATCCCTGTGATAAGAGTAAATTTTTTTTCCCCTGCAGGGTTTACAAATTTTTCAGACAGTGCGATGCAGTTTCTTGAAAAGCAAGGTTTAGAATCTCAGTAAGTTTTTTTTTAAATTAAGCATTCAAATTTAAATCTTTCCATTTTTAGTAAAATAGCATTTACTATAAATAGTTCTTTGTTTTTAATCAGTGAAAAGAGTTTTTTTTAAAGTAGGACTATCACTTTTAGCAATGTCCTTACTCATGATTTTTATATTTGTATACAGTTAGTATCTTACATAGAATTCTTACTTGAATCTCCTTATTTGACTTAATTCCTCTTTCACCAGAGATTAAACTAAATTTTAATGATTCATATTATTTTCTGTGTTGAAAATATAGATTGGGTTGTTACAGATCTGGCTTAAGAGATGCCTGATTTACTTTATACTTCACCAGAATCCATTATAGATGATTGAATAAGAGCAGTCTTTTTGTAAAAGTTTACTTTGTATTATTGTGGCTTATAAAGTATTTGACTAAAAGAAAGGAAATTTCTAGAAAGTTAACTTCAAAAACTTATCAGCTTTTTAAAAAATTTTGTTTTTAGGGGTCCTGTTTCAAAACTTACTTTCAAATTTTTCCTCGCTATTTTCTGTTCGCTCATTGGGGCTTTTTTGACATTTCCTGGATTACGTCTGGCTCAAATGCATCTGGATGCCCTGAATTTGGCAACAGAAAAAATTACACAGTAAGCGGAAAATGTACATAAGCACATGCAGATAAATATATGTTTTCCATCTTAATGAAGGTATATTATTGTAATGAAATCATAAATTATTGTATTGAAAATTAATGAATAACCATTTGATGTTACATTACTTCCTCTTTCTACTTTAAGCAAGTTTCTTTTATTTACTTCTAAATTTTAAGTCTGATGTAAAAAAATTACTAAATTTCTGAATTACTTAATTTCTGTTAAAATGAAAATATCAATATTTATGTTAGGTCTTTTGAACTGAGATCAGTGTTTTTGATAATGTAACCTACCACTAATATAAGCATCTGTGGAAATTTCTTTAAATCAGAATATTTTAGTTTAAAATATTTATTTAAATCTTATATAAATCATTTTATTTAAAAACTTTTGTGTTTATTTTAAATTTTTTCTGAAAGTAAATCTGTATACATAAGAAATGTTTGTATTATTGATCTGTTTGTAAGATTCTTGTTAAAATAATATATATTTTATTTTGGGATTGTTCATAGTATACAGTGTTAGATGTCATAGCTTAGTTGTAACCACCAAAATCTATTTTAGTTCTCAAATGGAGAAATCATATTTGAATCTCTGCATAGAGTTGTTCAGAGCCCATTTTTGTAGTTGTCACAGATTTTTTGTTGTTGTTGATGTAGGCACCTGGGCAGAGCGACAGATTTTTATCTTCTTCAGTTCATATCCAGATCCAAATTTCCATCTCCTCTTTTTGTTTTGCAGTAGAAGCCCAAGTCAAGAATATTTCATTTTGATACGTATATTTATAGTCATTAAGTTTCTCTGAGTAATCATAGTTCCTAACATTCCTGCTCTTTAAAACCCTATATTTAATGATGATGATTCTCTAGTTTTTTTATGTTCTTATCTCTCTTACCAATGTCGTTTTCCTTTATTTTAATTTTGAAAGTCTGTTTTTTTCCTTACCTCTGTTTTTTCTACATATGCTTTGTGTGTGTGTTTACTTATTCTCACCTCCCAGTACACACTCCTTCATCCCTCTTTTTTCTGCTCCTTTTACTCAGCATGCTTTTGGCTACATCCCGCCTTTCTCCCACCATCCGTCTCTCTAATGGCCTCTTTTAAAACAAAACCTGGTTCTCCCCCTCCTCTCTACACACACACTTCAGTCCACTAACCCCAGTGTTATGATTTAAATAAGCTGAAAGGGTGGGTGGAGGGGAGCTTCACCAGCTACTGAAACCGCTGTGGGTTGCTCCTTGATACTAGAGTGTTCCCTAGCAACACTGCATACCTAATACTGCTGCTTTCTTCCCCCGCACCCGATGGTTTACCCAGGCTGTGGGATGAAAGAATCACTTTATAAAAACATTTAGAGCATTTGATGTGGTGGTTTGGGATTGGGAGTGAGGGCACATTTTAGTTTCCTCTTCTGTTAAAAAATGGCTTCTTTTTAAGATTTTTCCCTTTGGGGATTTGGAGTTTTGTTTTCAGTGTACTGCAACACCACCCCCCTCCCATTGTGTTGTAGCACTGTGCACTTGATACAGGGTGTGGGCATGCCAGTTCTGTTGTGAGAATAGTAAGACTGGCACAAAGAGCAACATTCTCCTCACCCCCATTACCAGGCACTAGTGATTGTTCCACTGTCAGAGCTTAGAACCAGAGTTCTACCTTCCCTGTAAAGTGTTCATGGTTTCCTGACCCGGCCCTGTTTCTCAAGCCAATCACTATCCAGTTTGCATTGTAGTGATAGTTTAAAGTGTGTGTAGGGGGTGGGGGGCGGTAATTTAAACCCTCCAGTTTAGCTTACCAGCGTAGTTAATAACAAAAGCAGTACATAGTAATAAAATAGTTTGAAGAATTTGTCTTTCTGAAATAACAACTCTTTACCAGTCATCTGCCTCTGTAGGGTACAAACTTGGGACAATTAGCAGTGAAGTTACAACTCACACCTGAAACCTTTTGCTGTATTAGATATACTGCCTTGTAGGAGTAATCTAAATTTCCTTGGCTTGTATAGGATAGGGAAATCAATTTCAGATATGTTCATAATACTCCAAGAAGAAATAAGAATATGTGGTTCATGTATGATTTTAACAGCATAATTAAAACTTTATACATGATTATTACATGTTGAAAGTTTCCTCAGTTATAAGTTGTTGCAGTAAGTTACATCTGCCTGTATCTTCTAATTATGGACCTTGCTAATCACTCTTTTACTTGTAAATAATGAGAAGATACGTTGTTTCATCTGGACTGAAAATTATCAAAAGATGACTCCTATACCGTAAATTCATTGGATTCATTGACAGTGTAGAGTTAGAGAATCATTTAAGTACCAGTCTATTAAATCCAGGGATATGGTAGGGGGTTGTTAAAGAACACTGGAATAGAAGTGAACAGATTGAGATTTTAGTGCTGGATCTCCCTCTAGCCTGTGATATTGCCATGAGTAAGTGATTTAACTTTCCTCGATCTGAATATTCTCATCTGAGAAATTAAGGTAATGAGGTATTTTTGTAAGGGCTCAAATCACTGTTAAGTGGTTATGATAAATATATTAAAAAAAATGGTGACAATAGTACCTTAACATAGAATACTGAAAGTAAGTTCCTACCTTCATTTTTTAAGTCCTAAGTTTCTGTTAGTTTATTAGTGTATTTTGTTTCTGGATTTTTATTTTTATTTCTTACATACTTTCAGAACATTACTGCATATCAACTTCTTGGCACCTTTATTTATGGTTCTCCTCTGGGTAAAACCAATCACCAAAGACTACATTATGAACCCACCATTGGGTAAAGAAAGTGTCCCTTTGTAAGTATGGGTATTTGGGGGCTCATTTTTATTTCATTATATAATTAAAACGTTTTTTAAAAATTTTACTTACTATTTTTAATTTTTTTAATGATAATATTAGGACACTGTATCTTTTTAAAACATTAATAAAAATGATGGAAAATGTATTATAAAGTTGAAACTATAGATCATCATTTAATCTTACTGTGGTCTTCATTAATGACTGTGAATGATTATTACTTTGCACTAATATTATCTTGTATGCTTGTAAGTTTTTCTGCTTTTTCACTTAATGTCCAGTTGTTATCTGATATTTTTCTTTTTTCATTGTGCTGGTTTTTGAGACACTGTGCATTTCTGTTATTTTTTTCCTTAATTCTGAAAATTATGGAAGAAAAAAATGAGCAGTATAAATGGAAATTCATATATTAACCCCTTAAGACTTGTTAACATCTTCCATATTTACTTCACCCTTTTTTTGGTTTTGTCTTTGATAAAGTAGTTTTTCAAGTAAGTTAAAGGCATAGCATTTTTACCCTAAGAACTTTAGTATGCATCTCTAAAAAATAGAAACAATTTATTAAAAAGTAGTAATAACTGTACTGATATATTAACTTGTTAGTCTTATGGAACTATATTAGAGTAATAGAAGGATTTAGAGAGAGTTGGTTCAGACCCCAGTTCTGATCCTCACTGAAACTGTCACTTCAGGGAGATTATTTAACATCACTGAATCTCTTTTTCCCCATCTGGAAAATGAAGATAATAGTATCTACTGCACAAAGTTATTATTAGAATTAAATGAAAGAACACATGTAATGCAGACAGCTGGAAGTCAGTGCTTAATAAATGTTCCTTTCACTGCTTTGCCTCATCAAAATTAAAATAGAAAACCTTGACTAGTCATTGATTTCACAATATGCTTTTTGTACTATGCATTTCTTTTAGATCCTTGTGTAAATTTGTCTTGAAGTAAGTATATATTCAGTGATGACCATAGCTTTTTTTTTTTTAAGACTTAATCTTATTGAACTAGGGAAGTATACATTGGAGTTGTAACATTTTTTTTCCCCATGCAAGTAAGCCCTAATGGTAATTTTAATTTGACAGATTGACTGAGTATTTAAAAGTAATCCTAAGGATCCTGGAGTTCTAGACTAAATCTCAGAGAAACTTTCTGCCTCATATCTTTAATGCTGAAAGCATTCCTAGTCCTTCCTTGAAGTTTGATCAGAGAAGTTGGATTTTATACTCCTGTAATTATGTTTTCTGATTTTATATTTGCCTTAGTTTAATGGAGAAAACAAGGAAACGAGGATTTATGATGCATCTGTCATACACAGTTACTATGCTAGGTATTAATACTTTACATAGTTCATCTCATTCATTCTTAAAGTAATTATTTATGATTTCTGTCTTTATCCCATTTTATAAATGAAAGAATAGATTCAGAAGATGAATAATCTGGCTAAGGTTATTCAGCCAGATCTGGTATATGTAAAGCATTTAATAGTTATACCATTTGTTTCCCTCTTACAGCCTACTAAACTATGTGCAGGTTAGTAGTGAATACCATGCTTAAAGGAAATGGAAATAAGGAATTTTCCTCTTGGTTTATTAAACTATAGGAAAAATTTGTACATGAAGACATAGGATCCTCTTCCTATAGTTTTGTTTCCCTTTCCCCATTCCCTTTCCTGACCTTCATAAACAGTTCAAACAAAATTAGTCTTATCTCTGCTCCATTTTATTCTTTTTCATTTGTCAGATCATTAAGTGACTAGACAGGTGATTTTTAATTTTTGTTTAAAATCCAAAGTTCATGTGGTAGATTGAGAAAGAATGGCTGCCCCATCAATCAAAGAGAATGAGATGAAGAAGGCAGCAAGTGACAGGTTCTGTCACATGAATTAAATGGTTTATCAAAAGGTCTTTATTTGTATTGAGAAGCAAAAGTGGTTATAATGCAGTTTCAGCCTGGTAATGTATTTAAACTCATCCATCCATGTGTTCTGCTTGGGCATCAAAAAACTAAAATGTGGGCAGATACCATGTGCTTGTAACTTTGTAAGAAGAAAACCAAAAGAGAACATACACAGCGAAACCTCAAATGCCTTCAGGAATTTGGAAAAATTTCTTCTGCCTCTCCTTTACCTATATATTTTATCCCATCTCAGACTCTTTCCTGCCATACCCTATCATATCAGCTCACTAAACCCTTACGAAGTTAATTAAATAATTTGAATTCCAAGGCACTATTTAATTAGGACTATTATGTAAGTCCTGAACTCCTCATAAACTGAGCAAATTTTTTTTGATTCACTGCCTTATTCCATTCCTTTCATTTCTACTACCCATCCTCCTCAAAGTACGTGTAATTGCCATCTTCAGGACACTACCAGTCAAGCCTCCTTGTTGCAGCACTCAAGAGAGCACAGTATTGTCTGTCAGCCCCGAGAAGGGTGCAAGGCTGTGGATGATCTTACATCTTGCGTACTGTCAGTCTCGCATGACTGATGCCTTAATGTCATTGTTCATTATTGTGTAAATATGTTGATAAAAAGTTACTCTTTTATGCTTCCTAACCAACAGTGTTTTTCTATTGGAATGTTATGTCCACGTTCACTCATGACCTTGTAAAAAGGAAACCAAAAGAGAATGTAATAAAGCCTTTGTTTCATCCTATTTCTGACCTCTATTTCATAAATATTTCAAACAAAATTGTACATTTTAACATCTTCTCTGCCTTTTCTGTTTCCTGTACTGTTCTTCAACTTTATTTCCCCAGGCAACTTCTCCTATGTTGTAGTTGTAGATCCTTTCCTAGGTGCTTACGCTGAACAGAAGGAAGGGAAGATAATGGAACCTATTTTGAGGAGATTGTAGGTTTTTTTTTTTTTAATTTCTTCCTACACTTGTTCTTCTTTATAGCCATCCATTCTACCCTTATGGTCTTAAGAATTTTAGGGAGACCCTTGTAAGTTCCAGATCCTGTCTGGCAGATCACTCTGCAAATTTCAACAGTCACATATTAATTGCCTGATACGTGCTAGAGATTGAGTTGGGTATGGTCTAGACAGTATTTTCGAATACAATGTTATTATCCTTTATCAAAGCAGAAACTATGGTCTTTCAAAAATATTAAACCCCAAAAGGACATAAGAAATTACCTCTTCTTTCTAAAGTGCTTTAAGGAACATCTGATTTTGTCATAATTTTTCAGAATTCTTGATTTTCCCCTCATCCCAATCAGAAACTCAGCAGAGTGAAAGATTCTACTCAGATATTTATATGATCAGACAAAGCTGTAGCCAGAAATAGATGGGGTTTTGACTTTATAGTTCCACAATCTCCTGTGATTTCCTTCATTCTTTCTCCTAGTCTCCAGTTTAAGAGCATCTTTTCATTTTACAGCCATTTTTACCCCCTCTATGGAGGAGAGTAGAGAAAAGAATCCCAAGAATTGCTCTGTTTTTTCCTTCTAGTGCTACTTTATTTTCGTGATGCATTTATCTATCTGATTCTTTTATGCAAGTGAAAGTATCATATAAGTATGTCTGCAATAGGGTGAGATACTTTTGTTTTATATCTCCAACTGTAGCCAAGTGTAGATTTCCTTATATGATGAACGTTAACACATACAACTAGCTTGCTAGCATATTTTGGTCTTTGAGAGCACCATATCAACTTTTTGATCTGTAGAATGACAGAAGCTACATTCGATACTCTGCGACTTTGGTTAATAATCCTGCTGTGTGCTTTGCGGTTGGCCATGATGCGTAGTCATCTGCAAGCTTACTTAAACTTAGCCCAGAAATGTGTGGATCAGATGAAGAAAGAAGCAGGGCGAATAAGTACAGTTGAGCTACAGAAAATGGTAAGTTTTATACTGTAGTCAAAATGAAAAAATAGCAAATACTAAATTGTAAGAATAAAAGCACTTGGTTTCCTTCAGTAGTAATTTCATCCCATAGTATTCTTTTTACAAATAAATAGGATAATCTTAAAATGGTTGATACCAGAGACCTTGATCTTACTTTGGTGCTAAGTGAAGAAAGGGTCTCAGTTCCCCTTCTTGCCTTAAGTATTTTAGTATGATTCAGTTTGGGTAGCAAAGCTCGGATATATCTCCTGTTGCTAAGTGGGGCCCCCACCAATTGATTTGAAAGACATCATAATTTATTGTATAGCCTTTATGACCTAAAAAGTAGGAAATACTAATTTTAGTGACTAAATTTATTTCTTTTAACATTATTCCAAGTACTGGAACATGAAATATAAATATTTAACTTAATGGGGGTTCCAGAGAAGGAAAGTGCTAGGAATTCATACACCATTATAATGGACTAGACCTATAACTTGATCATATCTTTTTTTTAAGAAATGTGGTGTTCAGTCCTCTGTTTTTTACTCTTGAAATTTCATAGTTGGAAGCATCTATCAAGATTCAAACAACTTTTTATGTTTTACCTTTTATGTATTGTAATACTCTGTAATTCTACCTCAGTTGAATGTAAATGGAGATACAGTGTTTTTGTTTATGAGGGGTTTATGCTCTCATGACTCTGCCCATTACTGTTACTTAGTTTGATGTTTTAGGTGTCTGTCTTTAGAGATTTTAGCATTTTGTTTTATATTTGAAATGGTAAGTAAATATATACCACTTGAATTTTAGTGGTTATTTTTTCCAACTTGTATTTATCACTTGACTGTTTTTAAGTGATTTATTTTAATATTGTCATATTTTAAAAAAACTGAACCTTTCTGAAGTCAGTTTGGGGGCACTTATATTGAAGTACAAGCTTAATTACTGTTTAGCTTCCTTCCCATGAAAGGATTACTTATTTCTTAAGCAATTCAGTTTGACAATTGTTTGAAAGTTTTATGCATTCATAACATGTCAGCTGTATTAGAAACTTAAAAATGTTGTTGGTTGCAGGTCGCTCGAGTCTTTTATTACCTTTGTGTCATTGCACTGCAGTATGTGGCTCCTCTAGTAATGCTGCTTCACACAACTCTGCTTTTGAAAACACTAGGTAGGTGTACGCTGGCAACCGGGAAACACGTTTTACTTTCTGCCTATATTAATGCTTTTTGTGGTGCAGGTACGAGGTCAGTAGTAGAGCATGTGCTCAGCATGCACAAAGTCCTGGGTTCAATCCGCAGTAGCTCCATTAAAAAAAAAATAATGCTTTTTGTTACCTACAAAGAAATATACCTTTTAAAATTGTTTCTCTCTTTAAAAATTTTAAAAGGAAACATGAGAAACTTTGAACTGTAGAAGTTGAGTCATCATCTTGATTTTGAAAATTCAGACCTGTACAGTTCTATAACATTATGCTTCAATTAGAAGAACTGTTTGCTAAAGGTTAATTCTGAATAACTTGAGTGAGCACTGTTGATCTTAGTTAATTTATGATATGAGAATGATTTAAGATTTTGTTAGTGTGTGACATTTAAATTATTACAAGATACTTATAAACATATGAATTACAGAATACTTGGTGACTTCTACCTTAGATAACTTATGTTGATAAAGATTTCTCAGAGGAAGAACAAAGTTCTCCCATAAGTCTGTTCACTAAGCTCTCAAGCCCCTATGATGGTGTTACTCAAGAACTATCCATTGCTTTATTGATCATTTACCTTTGCTTAGATCAATCTGTCAGTGTGGGTTTTAGAAATCCAAAGAAACTAAAACATAATTTGAGTGGGCTTGGAAGAAACCATAGAGCTGGTAATAGATATAAATGTCTTTCAGGAATCTATGGAACATAAAGGAGTAGCTTAATTGTAAATTATGTGACTCATATCCTATCCAATATAGGAAAGTATATGATGAAAGAAAAACATTTCTGGAAGCTATTAATAGTCTCTCACATTGAAATCATAGTTTCTGAGAAAGAAATTTATTCTGATAGTCTAGAGGTAGAAAAGATTCTAGGAAGTTATTGAATCTGTCTCTGTCATTCCAGTAGAGGTAGTTGATTCATGGATTATACAAGGAAAAAAATTTTTTTATATATTTTTACCAGATTTCAGTCCAGTTAATTTAAAGTAAATTAGATTTGTAGTTTTTATGTGTACTTTTACTGATAAAGTTAAATAGTAGTTCAGTCAAGTTAAGTGAATTTTTCCTAGGTAGATAGAAAGATTATTATTTTATATTATTTTTAATGTAAAATAATTTGTTGTGCCACTAAACTTCTTACTCTTAATTTCAAATATAAGTTAAAGGATTTTTTTTTTAATAAGAAGCTTTGGAATTAGTTACTCATGAAGTTTTATTTGTGTCTTAAATTTTCTAGGTAATCATTCCTGGGGGATTTATCCAGAATCTGTCTCCACCTTGCCAGTGCATAATAGTCTACCCTCCAGTTCTCTTTACTCTGAATTACCATCTGGTGATGAGAAGGTGAAGGTAACTGTTACACAAATAACAGTGGCACTGAACAGCTTGAAAAACATTTTCACTCCTCTGCTTTTCCGAGGACTTCTGTCTTTTCTGACCTGGTGGATTGCTGCTTGTCTCTTTTCTACAAGCCTTTTTGGGCTTTTCTATCACCAGTATCTGACTGTGGCATGAACCTCAATTAACAAAAAAGGATATCCAAGTCACACTTTGAATTCAAATATCTGTGCCCTCGAAGGGCTGACAGCCAGAAGAAAACAAATACAAAGGAAAAAAAAAAAGCATATCAGAGTATCTTGTTTTAAATACTTCCTCTGTATTCTCAGGGTGAATTAATGATATTAATATTTAAAATTACAGAATAGATTGTTAACTGCTTTACTGTGGCATTGGAATTTTAATTCCTTGTGTTAGCAGAGGTAAGAGGGCGATCTACAAGTGTAATACTTCTGACTACCTTGGTTTACAGAAACCTCCAGCAGTCTCTGAAGCTTCTCATGTGACTCCAGTTATTGATTGATTGCTCTTTATGGTATTAAGGTACTGTTAATATTTGTAGTGGCTGCCTGTAGAACAATCTTCCAACTGAGCCATGCTTCAGGGGAGGGAAAGGAGCTAAAGTACTTCTGTTGGTGATATACCAGTCACTCTTTAAACAACAACAGCAAAATCCAACAGAAAGGAAGAAATAGCTACTGTATATTACAGTAAAAAAAAACTGCGTAATAATTTTAAATTTAATGGAGATGTACTTGCTTAATATCTACAAGTACTGCTGCTTGAGAGTAGCAAGAATATTGTTTTTAAATATATTCTGTCCATCTCGAGGGATCTTTTAAAATGATTGACTATATGAAGATGTGCAATCTTGCCATTAGGTTTGGATCTCTCATATTTTATTTTATTCTATGATCCTAAATATAGTTTTCTTTTTAATAGTCTAAAGATATTTATCAATATTGATCAGACTTTTAAAAAATTACTTTGTAATCCTGCTGACTACCTGTATGTATTGTATATATATATTATATATTAAATATATAATATATTGAGATTATTAAAGATGAAAATATTGGATTCTTATAATATTTTAAGTTGCTGACTGTATGTTAAAATGTGATTGAATGAGATGTATTTGTATTGAGAAATTTTCTTTCTTTCTAGAATGAGATTAAAATACATTTTGAAAGTTCATCAGAGCAGGCAATTTATTTGTGTTACCTATGTGTGAGAGTACTTCAGATTTTATAAATATTTAAGTGAAAAGAAAAATTCTTTTTCTGTCATGTAGAAAATTCAGGACCTTTTCAACTGTTAGATCTAACAGTATCATTTAAACCCATGTTAAATAGGACTTGTTTCAAGTTTGTAGTGTTTAGAATTAGAAATACTAAATTTTATTTTATAGGATAGAAATTGAGATAATTTGAATGAAAAATTCAAATAAATGTAAAAGAGTGAAAAAATTTTTGATGCTTTTTACATTGGGAATGAATATAAGAGATAAATAGGGTTTTTTTATTCCCTCCCCAATGAATAGAATTCAGGTAAATATTCTTTAATATAACTGTTTTGAGAGGCTATATATTACATTTCAATGCTGTTATCTCTAATGAAAGCAATTTCGAAATTCTTTTGGAATTACTTTCAAGGCTTGTGGTTCACATTCATTTGAATAATCTCAATATAGCAAATTCCGGTCTTCTAGTACAGATTAAATATTTTGGAAATAGTTGATATTTTAAATAAGACTGAGTAATAAGGTAAGTAATTAAGTTGGATAAAACTCTTTGGTTGAAATGAATTATGAATATAGCATAGCGATAGTTCATGTATATTTCCAAAAGAAGCATTCCAAATATAAGATGTATCAGCATCACTAAAGTAAGTATCTTATAACAAGATTACAGCAAAGTGTGATATTTATTTTGTATGTGACAAAAATTCCCTCATGATGGACCTGAAAAATAATCTCACCTGGTATTTGTAACTATTCTTATTAAAAAGCTAAATTGTGAAAATTTTAATTCAAATTATTATTTTGAGTTTCAAAAATTTTTCAGTGGAGTAACATTGGGGGAAGGGAATAGAATTCATTATTGGATAGAATAACATGTATTTCTAAAATTCTCCCTAAATATTCTATGAACTTGCACAAACTGCTTGTTAATTTAAGTAATGGGTTTGGTTTAGGTTTTTTTGCCCTTTCAAAGCAAATTTTAAGAGAATGATGGTTACTGCTACTAACTGGTTTATTTAAGCATGTGATTTTTGTACTAAGAATTAGTTCTTTAAGTGCAAAAAGACTTGTACTTTATGTAATAAACCAAGTAATATTTTTTAAAAATTGAGATATAATTGGCATATAAAGTTGGATTCGTTTTAGATGTACAACATAATGATTTTTAATACATGTATATATTGCAAAATGATTGCAAATAGTATTTTTGAATATGCTAAATTAGGCCAGTGAAATTCTTTTATTTTTTACAATGGACTCTAGTCAGTAAAAATGCTTCAAAGATCAGTTATTTTTATTTTATATTTTTGCCAAAGTAACTAAGAACCGTTATAATCATGCTTCCTATGATTTGTAGAATGTTACTTGACAATTTGTTGATTCCTGCCCCCACCCCCCGACCGTTGTAAAAATTAGAGCTCTATTCTCCCTCCAACCTCCGTTGATTTGTTTGAAATGAAAAGCATATAATTTTATCTTAACATTGTATGCATTTTGATTATCTTTGGTATTTACCTTAGAATTTCAGTAGCAATGCACAAATGACCAACACATCTAAGCAGTATAGGCTCATTGTCTTATTGTTTCTGATATAAATATCATTGGCAAAATAGAGACATTTCTTCTTGAGTTATGATTCAGAAGAGATACTCATCCATTAATGGAATTGACAGGTCCAGGAAGCAATAAGTAGAATTCATTATGTAATCTATAATTGGAACTTCACTGGGTAGTTTTTATTCTTTCAAGTAAAAGATTAAATTCTCAGTATTGCAAAGCATAGGGTCTCAGCATTCTCTGAATTCATACACACTTTCTGAGCCATCTCATAATTGAAAATGGTCTATCATGGTATATGGCTCTATTTAGCAAAATAAAACTAAGTGATATTTGAATGTGGACCATCCTGTGTCTTCACAGAGCTTTAGGTGGCTTAAAGAATCAGATTTAAACACACTTGGGATTCTCGAGCTTGAACCAGGTGTCATACAATCTCATGTTTTAAATCCCATTTGTCCAATTACGTGTGTAGCTGAGCTGGTTATATGCCATGAAAACTCTAACAGGGACATTAAGAATGATTTTAAAAAAGCTAAAGTCAACCTTTCCCTTCTTTAAAATGGTAAACATTTAACTTATTTTTGTTCCTGACAGAAAGGAAAAACCAGATGTAGCCTGTTCATATGCTCGTCTTTTGTTACCATCAGACTCCTTTTTAGCTACAAACTATTACATTGGATGGGCCTACCTTTAATGATTCGTACGATGCGTATTTTTCTATCCCATTGTTAAGTTTTTTGTTTGTTTTTCTTTTTTTTCTTGTCACTCCTTGTATGTAGGTTATTCTCCTTTCTTCTGTTTGGCGAAAGACTACTCATTTTATTAAATGAAGTAGCAAGAGTGTTTTGTGGCAAGAATGTTAATCCAAGAATCAAGAAACATTTCTTCTCATCCCATTTCTGTCTGCAACTAGCCATTTTTTGCACTTATTAGGCATTTAACCTATACTAATTAAGTAAAACCGAAATGTCACTATTGGCCACAATTTTATATGTAAAATGGTTTACATTAAATTTATGGCTATATATTTCTAAATTAAATATTGATTCCTCTTTGTATTAGCATGAGAAAAGTGAACAGCTATTTTTGGCTTCAGGAGTGTTAGAGGACATGTTAGAGGACTTTTTTTTTGTTGTTGTTAGTTGAAAATGATTTTACAGAGAATATTTTCTCCAAGAATATTTTGGTTTGTACTCATTTAATTATTTGTTGAATAAATATGTACTAAGCGCCTATATAGTATTTCAGAAGCTGCCCGATATACAGCAGTGGACAAAACGTTAAAATCCCTGCCCTCCAGGAGCTTAGAGTCTAGTGAAGAGGTGCAGACATTAAACAAGGATGAGTATGAATCCATGTGTAGGATATGTTGGACAGTGATGAATCTAATGAGCAGGGGTGACAGAATCAGGGAAGGGGGACTATGATATTGAAGAGTAGGGATAAAGTTATAATTTTAAATGGAGCATCAAGGGAAATCCTCACTGAGAAGATGATTTCTGAGTAATGACTGAAGGAAATGAGTACCACTGTAGTGCTTTTTCATATATCACTGTAGTTAACTGGTCAACAGAACATCTTGATTGCTTGGACTTTGCTAAGTGTGAGGTCAGTAAAGAAATTTTTTAAAAGATGGACAGAATTGTATATTCCCCTTTTCAGTTGGTGCGCAGGAAGGATTAAGGCCATTTAATTAAATGCTGCTTGTTTACTAATGAACTAAAACATGCAACAAATATAATCTCCCAAGTCCATTTTTTATAATTTTTCTGTCAAGTGCTTTTTAACTTAATTTGGACATTTTTACATGTTATTCAGTAGAACTTTTAAAGACTCAAAGGATTTCAAAGGAGTTGAAGATGTGTCCATTTTGCAGACAGTATGATGTGTCTACATGGCAGATAAATTTTACTCATAGGTCTTTAATCTGTCATACAATGTATTACACAGAGGTAGTTATGTAAAGGGTAACGTAAGGAAAGATAAATTTGGATTAATAACATCTTATCAAAATGTATAGCAATCTATACAAAAATTAGCTTTAACATTATTTAATTTAGAATGCATTTTCTCCCTATAATTCTACAGTGAAACAATTTATACTTATGAAAAGGAAATTCCAAAAGACCAAACAAATGAAACCATGTGAGTAGGATTACATTAAATAAGTAGCAATGAAAAGACATAAGAATTACTGTAATAGTGTTTTATTTACTCTACATAAATATACTTACTTGTCCTTTCATTTCTACTTTTAACAATTCCTTAGAGCATGAAATGTAATTTTTTTCCCACATATTTAGATTTCTGCCATTGTGGTAGATGGTCTGTGTACCTGTTCTAGATGAGTGGCTGATGTCTAAAGTTGATACTCTGTCAATTTAATAGTCTGTTGAAACTGAATATCAACATTAGAGAAATAATTGAATTATAGTAATAAATATAAGGATTTAACTCAAAATGTTTTAATCATTAAAAATTTTTTAATTTAGTAAAATTTTAAAAGCAACATTGCAACAGTAGAGAAAGCAGAGTTATTTCAACTATTGGCGTTAGACTAATTGTATATCCATATTTTTAAAAAATGAGCCTCAATCCCTATCTCATACTACACACAAAAATTAATTCAGGAGGGATAGTATATGTTATTGTAAAAGGAAAAACCATAAAAATTTTAGAGTAAATCATAAGAGACTAGTTTAATAATTTAAGGAGTAGACAAAGGTTTCTTAGGATACAAAAAAACACCATAGAATTTATTTTAATGATAAAATATATACCATAGAAATTTAAAGTTTCTACTCATCAAAAAACCTGTTAAGAAAATAGACATATCATAGCTTGATAAAATACTTGCAAAACATGAGACAAAGAGCTGATTTTCAAGATACATAAAAAATTTTCAAAAAAATTTAAAGAATAGGCAAGAAATTTAAATGGATAATTCACAGTTAACCAAAAAGCATATGTAAAAGTGCTTAACTTCTAGCAATGTTATTATGATGATCCTTGTTATAGGTTCTTACATTTCTTGACACTGAGTTCATTGAGGTTCTTAGATCATTAGGTTTTTATCTCAGATTGAGTTAAAGACTGACTAATTTTTCCATCCTGAAGAAAGTAGTAGAAATGCAGTTGTAATGTATTATTGGATTTTACAGTAATTTTTTGATTGCTCCTTCTTCAGAAGAAAGTGTTGAAAGAAAAGAGTGTTAGATCTTTAAAAGTTAGGATGGTTGCATGAAATGTTAAGTAATAGCACTACTTAGGTCAAGCACGAAAGGCTTTTCAATTACACGATCAGACATATGGAGTAAATTTAATAATACTTTTGCCTTTTTAAGTGTTGATTCTGCTTGGAAGTATTAAAGTTCTTGGCGGAAATAGTGAATTGCAGTTTTAGCATTTTAAGTGGAAGACTACTGACTAGTCTTGTCACTTTATTGGAGAATTTGGAAGTACCATGTTTGTAATTGTTCAGCTGGCTTGTAAAATGAGAAAAATTTTTGTCTGTTATTTAAAAAACTGATAATGTCCCACAACTCATTGACACTCTTGATTTTCTCCCAGTCCTCCCTGCCACCGTCCTGCCCGCCCCCACCATTTCATTTTGAATAGTTTTTATTGCTGTTATATTAAAGTTCACTACTTTTTTTTTTTCGATATCTAATCTGGTGTTTAACTCATCCAGTGTATTTTTTATGTCATGTATATATTTTCAATCTCCGGAGGTTCAATTTAGGTCTTTTTTTTTCCCTCCATGTCTCTAACGTACTCATACTCTCTTAAACATATAGAATATAGTTATAATAACTGATTCGGTGTCCTTGCCTACTCATGTTATCTTCATGTCACTTTGGAACTTGTGTCTACTGATTGATTTTCCTTCTCGTTGTGGTTTACATTCCTGAAAATCTTTTGACTGGATGCCAGGCACTGCATTTTGCGTTGTTGGGTAGTGGATATTTTTGTTTTTCTTTATTTCTGAGCTTTGTTCTGGAATGCAGCTAAGTTGTTAGTAAACCTCAGAGACAATTTTCTTTCAAGGCTTGCTTTTAAGGTGAGAGCAGCCTTTCACTGAGTGTTAATTTTTACCCATTACTGAGGAAATACCCTCTTCTGAGTATACCATCAATGCTCCATGCTTTGCAAAGTTTTCTCATTCTGGCTAATGGGAACATGAACTATTCCACCCCTCTTTGAGTCTTGAGGATTTTCTGC